AAAACAAACATGACAGTAAGTGCTTCTGTAAACCTAAGGAAACACCAAGAAACCTTGGTTAAATGGGTAAAACACCATATAAATAGCGTCAGAAAAGGAAAATAAATAAGTACTCTTTTCACCACATGCCGCTAAGACAGCCGGGTTTCGTCACGACCACGTTGGTTTTATCCGGTTACTCTGGTTTCCTGTCACATTAAGACCTCCTACGCTCTTCCATCCGGACAAACAAGAATGATTGTTAAAGTTGTAATTATTTTATTGTCAGATGGACGGGTCCTGTTGATTCAGTGTCGTCATTGAAAACGGCTTCACTTTGTCCTGGGTCGTCAGGGATCTTCACACTTTCACGAATAGGAGACAACGTGATAGGCACCACATGTGGTGCTAGATACGCTTACCTGTCTGGAGCACGTGACTTCGCCTCCGGTTTTTTGTGGGATCAATGATGTATTCCTTTTTCTTCGCCTCCTCGTCTTGTGTTTATTACAAAATGTCTTCAGAGAACATACAAGATGTAACAACATGAATAGAAACAGTCACTCTACGTCCTAACTTCGGGTTTAACCCTTCATCAGGGATAGAATGGTCCTTACTCTTATGCCGCATCCTCATTTTATAGTGATGTGTATTTGTATCGAACATAAAAATAATGATATACAACATTTATATAGCACCCTATATAATTTGTAAAATTACTCTTAGGTGCTTGATAACATATGGATAATAGTATTAAATGTAGTCATAATCGTTAAACAAAAAAGGCATACAAATTTTATTACCAATATACATAAAGCAAGAAGATAATCATCTCAATGTGCACATAAATGTTATAAAGGGCGGTATGTACATGACGTCTGCGCCAAGAGCCTAAAATGCAGACGTGAAAGGATGAGTTTTTATGTCCTTCTTGAATTTGGTCAGGGTATTTGACTTTCTAATAGCAGATGGTAAACTATTCCACAACGAGGCCGAAACCCTTCCAAAGCACCGGTTTCCATAGGTCACAGTGCGAAAAGTTGGGACACACAACAATGATTCTGTCTGCTACCGCAGTGATCGTAAGGGCTGATACAGAGTAACAAGCTCACGTAGGTACTAGGGAGCAGTTCCGTTTATTGCCTTGTCTATGAACACCAAAATTTTGTACTGCGACCTGTATTGTACTGGTACAATATGAGTTATGTTGAAGACTTGTTGTATTCACGATGTGGTTTGACTTGTCCTGGTGTATTGATGTTTTGGTAGAGTTTGTAATTGTGTATTTAAGATTTGATATTACATGTCTGCTGACAATGTCTTCTGTATTGACAATAAGAATGTTTACCTTTTTTATTGACTATGTGAAATATATTGGTTTTTTTTATTGACAATGTTGGAAAGTTTGTCCTTTGTATTAACAACGTGAGATAGTTTGTCTTTTTGTATCGACAATGTGTAATAGTTTGTCTTCTGTATTGACAATGTTGGATAGTTCGTCTTTTGTTTTGACAATGTTGGATAGTTCGTCTTTTGTTTTGACAATGTGGAATAGTTTGTCTTTTTGTATTGACAATTAGGAATAGTTTGTATTTTGTATTGACAATGTGGAATAGTTCGTCTTTTGTTTTGACAATGTGGGACAGTTCGTCTTTTGTATTGACAATGCTGGATATATTGGCCTTTGTATTGACAATGTGGGCTAGTTTGTCTTTTTGTATTGAAAATGAGGGATAGTTTTTCTTTTGTATTGAGAATGTGGGATAGTTCGTCTTTGGTATTAATAATGTTGGATATATTGGCCTTTGTATTGACAATGTGAGATAATTTGTCTTTCTGTATTGACAATGTGGAATAATTTGTCTTCTGTATTGACAATGTAGGATTGTTTGTATTTTGTATTAATAATGTTGGATAGATTGTCCTTTGTATTGACAATGTGAGATAGTTTGTCTTTTGTATTGATAATGTTGGATAGATTGTCCTTTGTATTGACAATGTGGGATAATTTGTCTGTTTGTATTGACAATGTGGGATTGTTTGTCTTTTGTATTGACAATGTGGGATTGTTTGTCTTTTATATTGACAATGTGAGATAGTTTGTTTTTGTTTATTGTGGATTTGGAACAATTTGTTCTTGTATGATGTGGACGTTGACTTTTTTCCTTTTGTATTAACGATGGGATATTGGTAAGAAAAGGCGTTCAAAAAACGATTTATCCCTGGTATATAAGAGTCCGGGCTACCAATAATATACTAGCAGTTTAATATGTACATGTATTTTAATCGTCCTATACCAATTATTGTTTACAACCTTACGCCCTTTGAATTAAAAGTTTGTTTTAGTGAGTACTTAGACCTGTTGGAATAACGTATTGCGCCACTGTAAGGCCTAAATAAACCTCCGCTTATAACCTCTGACGATTCAATATGTCTGTCATGTAGGTTGAATTTATGTTCACGTGTCTTATTAAGGTTTGAAACGTTGATTAAAAATTTCTCCTTAAAGCCCATAAAACTAATTAAGGAACATGTTAATGTTCCGTGACAAGAACCGAGCGAGTTATTGCTCGTTAGTGCCGTTCCTCAGTTAAAACGATAGAGCTCCTAAATTTCACGTAACACTGTCGTTACCTTGTGTGATACTCGTAAAACTTCTCTACGGCTGTTGCTGCTGAACATGGCAGAAATTCTTAAGAGAATAGAACAATATTTTTTCCTCCATCTTTACCAAATGTCATGATTGCTTTGTTTAATTTAAAACTCATGGAGGTTTGCTGAATTGCTAGAAAGTTTAATCTTGAAACACCAAGACAAGATGGATAAAACTATGGACCAAGTAGCGATGAAAATGTAAATGCTGGCTATAACACTATCTCTGTTCGACAGGTTCTTGACAAGAAAGCCAAACTGCTGATACAAATTTGAATTTAAAACTACATCTGTAATAGTATTGTTTTTTTTTACTTCCAATATTGAAGATAACAGTATTACAATTTAGTGTATGACAACAAAAAGACAGGAAAGGCGAGAAGGAATTTACAGACGAACCAAAGGAAGACAGGAGGACCCAGGCACATGAGATGACGGGAAGCGCCCAGCCTCAGAAGCTAGTTTCTAGGGTTTATTGTCACCATAAAGGATGTGGCCTAATCAAAGTGTCATTATAATTTATAGAATAAGATTACTTTAAGCATTAACGATGTAATCTTATCAAGTTTTGATTCCTGAGTTAACAAAAACACAGTGTTACAAAAATGTATGAGATGCGTGGTACATTTTTGTATTTAAACCAATTACAGAATACACATGTCAAATATGATGCAGTCTTATTTTTCTCAGTTCTAATATTTACCTTATGCAATAAGCAGGCCTAAGTACGATATTCCAATAATCAGAGGAAAATAAATTCGCATTTTTTTCTTAATCACTCTAGGTATTATTACAATTTCCCACAAATATGAGAACGGCTCCTGGATGTAGCATTTTGATTAAAAGAACATTGAAAAAAAGACAGGCAATTCAACTTAAAGTGTATTTTTACAGTCTTTGTATTCATTGAATAGTTTTAGTCTACCTCAATACATGCTATCATATAATTACCACCGGGTTTACAAATAACAACTGATTTCCAAAATTAACACACCAGAGTCAACTAAAATACAGTATCTATTGTTTCTTCAACGTCATTCAAGAGCAATTTTACAGATTTTCTTCCAGGATATTTGACAATTAGCGTTTTTGTGTTACACTTTATATTAATCTCAAAATTTTGTCATTGAGAGTGTTCAGATAGATTTTAAGTGTCACATTTTCGATAGTTGTAGAATATTTTTTGCTAGAGATGGCTCATTTACATGTACTACATTAAAATATCAATTATATCATTAATTGTACATTTCTGCAAGAAAATATTTAATTGGGCCAATCTTTGAATGCCATAATCGTTTTTACAACTCATAAAACAAATACGTTTTCATCTATGAATAATGTAAAAGAAGTTAATCCCTTTTTCAGAATGAGATCCAGTATATATAATTATGTATTAGTTTTTCCTGTACAATTTATGCGCAGCATCTGTTTTGTAATTGCGCACAGTAAGACCGACGAACGTGACACACACACATGTGATTACACCTTTAAAATTTAGTAATATATACAGTATTTCTAAACATTTTCTTCAGATTGGTAAGTATGGATACTGAAAAGTTCTTTTTACACAACCAATACAATTTTCTATGTGACGTTTCGATGACTAGTACGATATGTACACTGTCACTTTCATTAAACAAAGCGTAGCTGAATTGAGACATTTCGGTACACTTACAGCGTAGCCGAAATCGACATCGATGTTGTGGACAGCTCATACGCTTCACTGGTCATTTGTCTAATGAAGGTGGCGGTGTACATATCGTACTAGTCATCGAAACGCCTCATAGAAAATGTTATTGGTTGTGTAAAAAGAACTTTTCATAATAGATACAGTATGCCACAAAAATACGTGTTGGCTAGTGTCAGGTTGTGTCAGGGTGTCAGGTTGTGCCAGGTTGTGTTGTGTCAGGGTTGTGTCGGGGTTCAGGGTTGTGTCAGGTAGTGCCAGGTTGTGTCAGGTTGTGTCAGAGGTTGTGTCATGTTGTGTCAGGTAGTGTCAGGTTGTGTCAGAGGTTGTGTCAAGTTGTGTCAGAGGTTGTGTCAAGTTGTGTCAGAGGTTGTGTCAGGTTGTGTCAGAGGATGTGTCAGGTTGTGTCAGGTTGTGAATTGATCCGGGTACATATAGGTACGTTTTCCAGTTTGTCTTCGTAGAGCTATTTGACTTTCTTGTGAAGTATGACAGCCACTAAGGAAGTAAATGGAACATGTATACTGATTTATGATCTGGTTGACAAAAGCATTAGATACCTCATTATTAGACGGTAACGGTTATTACCGAGAGCCTGTGCGAAATTTCCATCTGTATTGCCAAACAATATTACCAAATAATAATTAAAGCAGTAATTATATTTAAAATATTTAATAACATTTCACGTAAGATCACATTTGATATCAAAATAACACAAGGCGGTGATAAATGCAAAATTTAACATTGTGAGTGATTATCAAAACTAGTGTACGCGCCGGAAGTCGGCTTGTGTCGTGAATCCCCCAACAAAAGTCTATCGGGCGTGGAGGAGTGACAGTGACGCTCCAGAGTGGAGGCGTGGCTAAGTCTATCTGGAGTGGTTGAGTGACAATGTCGCTCCAAAGTAGATGAATGACTAAGTCTGTCCGGAGTGGACGAATGTCCGTGTCTGTCTGGCGTGGCCGAACCACTTGACCGCCTTGGGTCACACCAGTGATCCTCGATTTTCTCGTACCCACTGTCAGGGCTGCCACTTGTCCTAGAACTGTGGCGATGGAGGGAGGGGTACTGTGGAATCGGAACAAATGTTGACGGATTCGTGTTATAATTCACAAATTTTGTTTCCCCGGGAGAAAACTGAATTGAACAAGAATCGTCCGCCCTAGGTGGAGCTGTAGGGATGTTCCTCACAAAAGGTTTGGACATGTGGTCCAACTGTAGCATTGTTTGAGCGTAAGGCTGCACATGAGGGTCCGGAAGGGGAGGAGCTCCGTAGTAAGGAGGGGCTCCCGCCTGAGACGGAACCAAAAAGGACGGGGCCATAATGGGCGGAACACCCGGATCCACTTTGTAGTAACCGTGACTGGACGAGCTGATTGTTGATCCCCTAGGGGTGGGAGGATCTGGTGTGTGCGGTTCCAGAATAAAGTAGTTGTTCGGCGGTAGTGGAGGGTTGTTATTGTGCTCCATATTTAAATTGTTCGACTTTGCCGCCAAAAAAGGATCATCCTCACGTGATTTTTCGTACCGGGATAACTCTAGCACAGGGGCGATTTCCTCGTAGGCATTCTGTAGGGAAGAAAATAAAATAAAAATAAGAATTATTCATATGAAGGATATTACAATTTACCTTTGAATTTACTCCTTTTAGTTATGCAAATGACATGCATAATGTGTCTGACGTGCACAGACCACCCAATATAATTTAGAGTTTTTTGTCCACTGCGAGCAGAACCACGGTGGTTTATATAGTACCAGATGTTCCTCAGTAAAGGCGATACTATGTAAAGTAAGGTATGAAATACAACATGCGAAGGATATCTTGTTTTAAAGATTTACATATTTTAGATTGATGTTGACGAAAGAGTTCCCACTATGTTATTTGATTTGTGTATCTGATCATACGGCGTTGCTGTATCTAAGAAATTAGCTATATTTAGAATCTACAAGTCGATGTCAAATAAAACGTACAAAAACAGGAAGCTGCACCAATGATACCGAAACCGGACGCCACTACTATTTCTGTAGATCTATAAGATAATGTTGTATTTAATTTCAACAGTTTGTACTCGAGCCAAAAGCTCGCAATAACACTGTGCATACATTTATTTCAATGGCACTGCTTGTCTGGTGAGGAAAACGGGACTTCATACAGACGCTGACAAATCACAACGGTTGTATTCATATAGCAAACATCCGTGTGGACTGCAAAGTGAGAACAATTTATTCTATGAAAAACTGTCGTAAAAGATTCTCGAAATTGTAATTTTATGTCAATGTGCACGTAAAAATACCTTTGTTGTAGTTTATTTCCGTTCAAATATAGAACGGTTTTGTAGCAATAAAGAGTCGAGTTACAATTCAAGCTATTTAACTAGCTTGAAACTAGTTCACATCTATTGGAAAATCGTTTTTGTTTGTGTCCGGTTTCACGGGGCAACTTCCGGTTGAACGGTAGTGCTCGGAATCAAAGTGCTCGTAAATGTCCTTCTGACATGATGCAAAAGCATAACTAAGAAGATGTCGAAAGAGGTATATGTAAATACGTGTTGTGTAGAATGAAATCCATGTGTGAGGGTGCGCAGGTGTTTTAGGAAGTTCGTGTGAAGTGATACACAATCTAATTGGATGTCAGTATCATATTTCTGTCTCATATTTAAAGGTTATCATAAGTGGAATAGTTTTGACCTGATAAACGGGTCTAAACCAGCAATAGTTCAACATCTTTCGACTAGAATAGTGTAGCTTAGAGAAAAATTATTTTTCTCCGGATCAGATCCATTATAATGTCTATTGGAAATGAACACACGTTTATTTCAGACTTAAACAAAGATGACTATAGTCCCATTTAACTACATAACATTAATTGGAACCTAAAGTTAAACATGAAACCACAGAAATAGTTGCAATTTTAATTAAGAACGCTACAAAAACAAATAATTGGTTACAATTTAATTAGACCTGATACAAGACCTACAGCAATGGTAATGATGGGTGTGATGGTAAATATGAATGTACTCAAACGACACAGGAAAAGATGTGGATTATTGTTTAGATGAGTACAATAAACAAGATACAAGATTTTCTATTTAACGTCGTATGTTTAAAACAATAAACATTAGCTTTTTTTTACAGTTTTACAGTAGTTGAAGCTGTCAAATATAGTACGAATGCGATTCCATCATTTCGTAAATAGTGCATAGTCATTCCATTTAAATTCACAACTTTACAAATAAGATTCCTAACTATATATTGACCAATACACACCAATACTGATCAGATCACACCACACCTTACACTGCCCACCCCCTCCCGAACCCCCTGTTCCCCTTCGTTGTTAACTGTAGAAAGTATCACAAGTCTTACCGAGAGTTCATCACTGTCACGTGTTGATTTTTCACTGGTACCTGGGTCCCCTAGATGGCGCTTGCTGTAATTAAAAAATGCTGATGTCAGGGAAACGTATAATTTTAATGAGCATGAGAGCCGCATTAATCTAATTTTGTGTAAGAGACATTATTAAAAAAAAATAAAACATTAGAATTATGTCCTCACTTCCGGTACTTCCAGAAGCAAACTGACTTCATCTCGAAAACGTTAATTACTTTTTGGAACCTGATAACTAACGTCAATGTTGAATTTCAATTACACGAAACAAATACAAAAAACCCGTACGTAAACAAATCAAGAGACCGCCAATGTAATCATCTGTTATAGTAATCTGGGGATATATTTGGCAGCAGCGGAATCCAATTATTTTGTTGTTGCCTTTGTTATGACAATATTATTATCCTATGAAATATTTTACAGGTCTATATTAAATTCCCCGGGGAAAACTTAAAAGTGAAATAACAACTCATAAAACCATGAGATCCGCTCGTTCTCCACTATACCTCCTGGGCATGTGTGCTCTCTAAAATTCAGTTACGCGATTCTAAAACCCGAACCAAGAGAGCTAACCCACACTCTCCTCGTATAAGTAATAAAGCAACGATAAACCTTTTAAACGGAAGTCACGGTGGTTGACCCTCAGCAAATATCGACATCGTAATATGTTGATGTGTAAAACACTATTTTGATTGGATGTACTGTTGCTTTGATGGATTGTAGTGTTGTTTTTTTCTTTGTTATTCTGTTGCTTGATTTGATAGGTTGTAATTAAATTGGATTGAAATGCTGTTTTGATGCATGGGTTGTAATGCCATTGGGTTCGAAATTATTTGGTTGGTTTATAGACTATTTTGGTGGGTATTTGATGGCTTGTAGACTATTTTTATGGGTATTTTGATGGCTTGTAGACTATATTTATGGGTATTTTGATGGCTTGTAGACTAATTTAATGGGTATTTGATGGCTTGTAGACTATTTTTATGGGTATTTTGATGGCTTGTGGACTATTTTTATGGGTATTTTGATGGCTTGTAGACTATTTTGGTGGGTATTTGATGGTTTGTAGACTATTTTGGTGGATATTTGATGGCTTGTAGACTATTTTTTATGGGTATTTTGTTGGCTTGTAGACTATTTTTATGGGTATTTTGATGGCTTGTAGACTATTTTTATGGGTATTTTGATGGCTTGTAGACTATTTTTATGGGTTGTAAACTTTCTTTATGGGTATTTTGATGGCTTGTAGACTATTTTTATGGGTTGCAGTGTATTTTAAGGTTTGTAGAACATGTTGGCTAGGTTATAAAGCATTTTGCTTGGTTGTAGTGTATTTTAATGGTTTAGGCTGTAGTTCTCATTGATTGGAATGCCTCCCTCTATTATAACTTAGTGTATATTGCCATCTTGATCAGCTGCAGTACTTTAAATTTACTCTGAAATGTTACTTTTGATGAGTAATTTTCGGTGTTACCAACACGGAAAAGAAATTAACATGGATAACACATTTTTACGATGAAACGAATAGAATTTCACGGAACGGTTTCTTTTTTTGGTTATTAAAAATATGAAATAATTAAAATTCATTTAGGATACTTTAATAGTCTAGCATTTCTTTGTGACAGAATCAATTTCCCCTGCTGGCCTCAGACCACAGTAATTTCATGAAATATTGGTAACTAGATAGGTTTGTGCTGTGTACATATCGGAGGAGAGCTGGACAAAAACTCCGGCTCCTATTTAAGGGAGAGGCGTGCACCTGTAATGTGCGGCTGACTTTCTCCCAGACCTCAACATACGGCATCGTTATCTTCTAGTTCTTTTTCCCGTCAAGAATAAATAGTATTTTGTTTAATTTGAATTCATTAAATCGAAAGCACCTCAGTCATTACGTTACAAAATGAAAAATAATAATATCAAACTTCTGTATGAAAATAAAAAGAACAAAACTCGTATAACAATTTGGACAGAAAGAAATATCTATTTGTTTAAAGTTGACGATGCTTTAAAAAGTTACACAAGATGAATCACGAACGTGTACGATTTCATGCAAATAAATCAGCCTTGTAAGGAGTACTGTCACTCGAGGAAACTTGAACAGATTCCAGATCCATATACGATTTTTTTAGTTTCCAGTTTTCTATTTAATTTGATAAAAAGAATTACAACCCTAATCCGCCGTAAATATAAACTAATGGTGTAAAAGGAGAGGAAAATTACAGTGTAGGTCTGAAATACCCAGCGAGATATTTAATTTTCATCTCTCTTTGTGTTGGCGAGAACCCGTGTGGGCATTGATGAATACATTTTTCTTGCTTGCATTGTTTCCTGTGTGACATTCTACAATAACCTGGCTCCACTTATATCGTGAACAAGGACAGTTGGTCTTGTATTTGTTATATGTATGTTATCTCCTGTGTCTAGCATATAAACCACAGTCGTTCTAAAAATTCATTGTTGTTCTAAAAAGAAAAGGAGATAAAGTTTATTTATTATTAATGAAGTCTATTCTGGTTGTCAGATATAATACCATATAGTTATGATAACCTTAATAAATACGCAAAAATACTAGACTTGAGTTAGAACAAAGCTACATGTACAATATTCTCTACAGAAATTAGTGTTTTACGGCCATATTATATTCTATAATAATCCGGTCCGTTGATGTCAATGTTCTCTGTAGAAAATCAATACAAACATAGCGAGGTGCACTATACCGTATTAGCAACCTTGCATACTATACTTCAATCTTCAGAAAACGACGTAATTTTCTCACACAAACTAATGATGAAACAATCAATACCTGCTCACAAGAGCAGATAACTCTGCAATACGAAAAGACGGAATACGGTAGCTACATGTAAACATGTTTTATAGTTAATATCAACTTGTTTTTACACGTACATTGGTTGAATATTAATATTTTCAACTTTTATGTGTTTTACCTTTTCGTAGTTAGTTAGTTACAGGTGATTTGCCTGGTATTAAAATGTTTTACTGTACCATAGTTAAATATAAACAGTTTTATCGGTAATGTTTAGTTTAATATTAACATGCACTTTATTTGTAACGTAGTTAAATATAAAATATTTTTCCTGGCCCATAGCAAAAACTTAGTTAATTTTAACATGTCTTGTACCTGTCCCATAGTTAAATAACATTAACATGATTGTGACAAGAATGAGTCTATTCCGTACAACAGTACACCTCAGTGCACACCTGACCATAATACCTGTGATACCTATACCACAGGTTACAGGCCCTACCTACAGGGTAGATTACATAACACCAACAGTCAGGTGGATTGTTCTTCGTCTATGAATGACAGCTCTTGGCATATTTACTCTTTTAATTTGTTTAGACATATTTTTATGAAACGACATGGATATCTTACTGAGCCATTTTTGTATGATATTTTGTCAGTATGTGTGGATGTGTTTTTTGGTTAGAGAACGAGACACGACTCCTTGGCGATTCTGTCTACGTGTGACTCAAGCGTTTGTCTATGTGTGATTTGTATGACTCGAGAATTTGCCTAGGTCACAAGCCTCCGTCTTTGTCTGTAGTCTTTCTATATATGACTCGAGCCTGGTGTATAGGGGGTTTGGCTCGGCTTGACCTTTGGCTATGAGAGTTGAGTATCTGTCTTAGAGAGATTTGAGCTTTGTCTAATTGCGATTAAGGCACCTGTCTTTGTGAGACTTGAACCTTTGTCTATGTGAGTTCAGTACTTGCCTATGTAAGATGAGTATTGTCAGATTAAGTTGACTATTTGTCTATGTGAATTGGGTAGTATTTGTCTATTTAAGTAACGTATTTGTCTATGTGTGACTAGGGCAGCTGTCTTTGATAAAATAATTCACACAGGTCTGGATCAAAAGTTGAAGAATTAAAAAAGAATATGTAATTGCTATCAGACCGAATTTCATCTTCATCAACAGTTACGTGTAATGACTTACGTAATGTCATAAAATAGACGAGACATATTTTAAATGTCAATGCACCTTTTCAAGCACGAATATATTTTGATACAAATGTATGTTCATTTTGGAAATGATGAGTTAGTATTAAGTTCTAACTTCCTGCTAAAATATATCCTATGCGTGTTAGTAAGTCGTCATTAAATATTGCAATCTGATTAAACAAGAGGCCCATGGGCCTTAACGGTCACCTGATATATTTATACAGAGAGTTGATTTCGTTTTTAACATGAACAGAAATATTATTCAAAGTGACAAAAAACAATAAAACTACCTTATTCAATATCAAGCATACAGATTTCAGAATAAAAAGGATTTGAAACTAGCACCTCTGATTCTAAACAAGGAAAATGAAGAAATTTTAGCACACTGACTCCCTTGAGCCCCACCCTACAGCCCTTGGGGGTAGGGCTGGCTCAAAATTTTCAAAGTATCAAACTGTCAACTCAAGGTTATAATTCCAATCAAGTAATTAACATGTAATATTCAAAGTATCATTTGCCATTATAAACCATAATAAATTGTGCCCCCCCCCCCCCACTCCTTCCCCAGGGGGTAAACTAAACGTGAGACCCTAGGCTCATAAACCTTAAGACCCTTCCATCTATGAAGAGTATTTGATTCTACCATATCT